GTGAGATTTCTGCCCTAGATTATTATGTTACCTTTCTGCTCTTTGGTTTAATCCAACCTCTCTGCTCTCTGTTTTATTCCACTATACAAAAATTTTCCTTGACTTTTCATCTTCAGCTTACATCACCTACAGGACAAAGGTCAAGCAGCTCACAACTTCCTATGAGTGTCTAATGCTCCAGCTTCGCTTCATCCATTTTTCACCTTTACAAGTCCCAGGAGTCGATTTTCCATAGTCTGCTATCTCTTGAGAGTAGGAATCAGGCCACTCTTACTTGCTACAATATTTCAAGTGCCCAGTACAGTAAACACTGCCTCAGGATATCGGTGCTAAGAATTGAGCTGGTGATTATATCTGGACAAATCAAATTTATTCTTTTATCATCCCCAACCTTACCTGAGACAGATAAAGAAGAATAAATGTTTGACCAGCTTCAAATTCCCACTAGGACAAATTTTAATCTTGTGCCAAAAGTAGATCTGATGGGAATCTCAGTAGGAAATCCAAAGTTGGTTAACAAATTTAACAGTACATTAAAATTAGGATTAAAAATATGTATTGATAATATGAAGGTCTTCATTGAACAATGTTTGTCTTTGTACTTGTGTGTGTGGTACTTTACAATTTAGAAAAAGATCTGTAATGTTAGACCATATGTATCATTCCTGACTAAACACTAAGGCATTTGTCACCATGCCCCTTGTATGCTCCTAAAATGTCCCCAATATGTCCCATTTTCAATCCCAAGTTTCTTACCCAGAGGGACATCATAAGTGTGCCCAGATCAGACTGTCCCGGTGAGTATTATCACAGCAATACTGGGAACTAGGAGAACTATTATTATCTACAAAAACTGCCTTCCTCCCATGTGCTAAGTCTGCTGTTCCTCGGGATGTTGATCATCAATGGAACAAAGCAAGCTCATGATGTCACGGCTGATGTAACCTAAGCTGTGAACCCCTTTCCTTATGGAAGAGAGCACAGTCCAGCCAATCACCACTGCTCACAAGCTGAGTACTTCCTGATGAATATTTGTCCAGCCCAGCACCATTGGACCTCTGAGTGGTGCTGGTGTTTAGTACACACACTTCATGAACCTGTTGAGCAATGTGATTACAGAACACGTCTCTTGTGGATTTTGCTGAGCAGTGCTGCTGTTGACTGTGCATCCCATGTGAGATTTTGGCAAAGCAGCGCCGTTGAAGAGTGTGTAACTCTTGTGAACCTTCCAAGAGCCGCTATTAGGCCCCTCTGTTTTCTTGTGGACCCTCTCCTACTAGTATCAACTAACCTGTCCTCTGTCTTTAGTTTTAAACCTTATATTTCATAAGCCATCTATGGGTATTTCTTAACCTCTCAGGACCCCACCCAGATGCCCTACCATAGCTGGACCATGGATACAACACCATAGTAGAAACTATAAGAATTGTGAAAAACTGTAACCTACAAGATGTCTCCTTACAAGATAACCTTGCTCACTTTCCTGTCATGATTACCTATAAAACTCTTAAAAAGAAAAAACAAACCTTTTAACTTTAAAGATGTGAGTAACTGAGAAGGTAACACTCCTAATTCTGCAGCTGGGATTGCAGGACAGAACCCTATTTTTAAAACGTATTAGTATATTACAAATGAAAGGGAAACAGGCTTAGTTCCAGAGTCATGGGGAGAAAAGATGTCAAAGAACAGACTTGGGTCTAAGAAGGGGCCGTAGAGCTTAGCAACAGAATGATTCAACAGAACGATTCAACAGAGAGTTCTTGGTTATTGAATCACCTATGAACCAACTCCTTGCATATGCACTAAAACACATGTAAGGAGACTCGGATTTCTATCCATGCGCTGAAGAAAAAAATTTTTAGAATGGAGCAGAGGATCTAGGAAGGAAATGTGTCTATTGGGAAGTAGAACACATTATCATCATAAATACAGCCCACTGGAGAAGCAGGATTAGCGCTCAGAATATGTGAAGATCTGCCACACCAGCAACTTTGGATTTCCTAAACTGCAGCCAGGAAACTGCGCCGGAATGTTGATCCAACCCAGGCTTCAATGAAGACGACCTCTAGAAGGATGTCAAGGTGGCCAAAAGCAAGTATGAAATCAGGTACAAGAGGCCCCCACACTGACTTAGGACATGATTCTGAGACCTTTAAGATCAGAGCACTTTTCTATGTCTCCATGATCATGTCTCCTTTGCTTACTAACAAAAATTTTATTTGAAAAAGCTCAGTACCCTTTGGATGAGCCACAGGATAAAGGGGTATTTACATATCTTGATGAGAAAATCAGTAAGTGAAAGGAAACATGGAAGGGAAACCCTATAGAGATGTGGGGTCAGTTGTGCCCTTCCCCCTCCCATCATCATAAAGTTTGAATTGAATTTGAACTCAAATTGCCAGGATGTTATTCTATTCAATTTGCTTTTCTGAATGTATTCCCAAAAACTAAAGCATGTGTAGAGCAGTGGTTCCCAAATTGAGGAACCAAAATCTTTTAAGTAACCCATAAAGTAAGCATTCTGCAGTCAAAGAAGTTGGAAAATATTTTATCCCTGTTTGAAAGTATTAAAGTTTCTGATAAGTCCTGATGCAAAGAATCCTATTTAATCACTATCTTATATTGCATTCCCCTTATTCTTTCACTCAGCAGTTATTGAGAACCTTCTTGGCTCCATGCGATGGGCCTACAAGACATATTCTTGGCCCTCAAAGGCTTCCTGATACCAACACATGCGCTCTGAGGCCCTCCTTCTCCCACTCATGCTTCTTGGAGTACTCCAGCATGCTCTTGCCTCAGGTTCTATCTCCTCTTTTGAGAATGGATTTTCCTCAATATTCACATGGCTGCTCCTTTACTTTATTCAAGTTACTGCTCAAGAGGGCCTTACTAGATTGTCCTTTTAAAATAACACTGGGCTGGGGATGTAACTCAGTGGCATAAGCACCTGCCTGGCAAGTGTGAGGTTGTGAGTTCGATTGCTGGTACCAAAAAATTTTAAAAAAATAAAATAACATCAACCATAGCATTTGAATCCTTTACTGTCATGGCTTTCTGCCACAAATCTGTTTATGTGTTGTCTTTCTATCCTCTAAAATGCTAATTCCTAACTCTTAGGGCTGTGTCTAGAATATAGAAGGTGCGGACTGTTTACAAGTTGGCTGAAAGAGAAACCATAGTTATTGTATCTCAGAGCCTAGGATTTAGCAGACTCTATTAAAATACATTGACATTGTAATGGTGTAATAAGTGTTATGCTGGGAAGGAACAAAATGCAGTGAGAGAATACAGCACTGGTAAGTACTTCAGTGGTAGGGAATGCTTCCTGGAGGACTTGACTCTGAACCAAGGGCTGTGAAATTCCAGAGCTGAGAGAAAATATTGTCCATTTGTGAAATAAAATGAGTTCAAGTTGACTGAGAAAGAGCAAAGCAGTATAGCTGTGACACAAGAGCCTACAGAATTAGCAACTCTTTGGAGACATGATAGAGTTTGAATTTATTTTCCCCTAGAGCCAAGGGGTCCTATGAAGGGTTTCAGGCAAAGAAAAGTAAAAAGTACATTTGCGTTTCAGAAACATCAGCTGAGGTGCAGTGCAGAGAATATCTTGAAAGAAATAGGAACAGGGGCAGAGAAACCAGCTGTGGAGCTTCTCACATAACTTAATTGGAGTATGATGTTAACTTAGTCAAAGATAGAGGTAACAGTCTGTAGTCTGACAATGTATAGAATTTGATGACTCGTTGAATTAAAGGGTAAAGTAAACTGAATAATGAAACTGTTCACTCCTTTGGTATACCCTCTATTAATACTGTGTAGGGTTAGTATTCCATGCAGTACATTATTATAAATGCAGGTTTGTAAAGATTACTGAATCTGGAAATACTACAAGCAACAGTGATAAACAAAAGATATATACTACGTACACAATGTCACTGGTTATATTACTTTTAGCAAATAGTTCTACAGGTGACTTCGTGAGTCTTATGAGTGTACTACTGGCTGAGCTGACTGGTGAGGTTAGATCTGATTATAACTCAGTTAACATCAGTTGACATAAGACAGCTTGATTAGAGTTTGGTCTGATTCAAAGTTGACCTTCCTATTGTCCTTATTATATTTGAAGGCAGGTTTACCTGTGGAGAAGTCTCCATTCTTCCTCGCTAAGATAAGAAATGTCTCTGTTCCTGGTGCTCATCTGGGTCAGAGCCTCACAGGGAATGTGTGCAGGCCTCACACAGTAGAAGGCTTCTTGGTCTCGAGCATCCAGGTACTGACACAATTCAGCACTTGAGTTAAGGGTCAGGCCACATTCAGAGGGGACTCGGGAGGTGCCATTGACAAACCAGCCTGTGAAGATCACCCTGTCGTAACCTTGGTTCCTTGCCCTCCAGAGAGCTGATGCCCCTTCACTGGGGTGCATGAGCAGAATGGACAGGGAGACCTGGCCCTCCCAGAACAGTGTGAAGCTGAGAAGGTAGGTGCCGTTGTTGAAGTCTGTCACCTTCCCTGACGCTCCTGCCTTCAGGCCTTTAGAGGACATCCTGGCCTTCAGGAAGTCCCCGCCATATTCCTTCCTGCGTCCCACGTGGTCTCTCACCTCCAGCAAGACATCCAGCTGGTCCCCCCTGCAGTACGTGTCTCGAGGGTTGAGGATGGTGGCCACGCTGTGTGCAGCGCTGGTGGTGGCATTCAAATGCATGAAGGGTCTGGGTGGGATCAGCTGGTCCATTTTCTCCAGGATCTCCCTGATTTTCAGTTCAATTTCTGTTGGTGAAACTGTTGGGTTCTGAAATGTTTCAGACTGTGAAAACGTTTTGAAAATGCTCCACTGTTTCAGGGTGATGGGGTTTCTCAAGTGGAGGAAGAACTGAAGTATTGAGGGGAAAAGGATATATTTATTATATACATGTATTCACAGCAGATAATAGAGGTTGTTTTTCAATATAAATTAGTATGGTTTATTTTATAAATGTAAGCATGACAAAATTATCAGAAACCAGTTCTATCTAGGTTTCATTTATGAATCTATAGAAACTAATTTCCACATGGTATAACTTCCTCTAAGCCAGCTGATTATTTCTTTTGCATGTCATTGACTAAAAACAATTTGCTAGATATAATAGATATGCATTACTTCATTATTAATTTTTAAATTATCCCCTTTTTAAAAAGATCGTGCACCCATTATATATAAACTGTGGGACAGTGGTGTCTCATTAGTCACTGTAGCGATGTATGTTTCTTACATACAGTATGGCACTTAGAAAGATTTGCTCAAATGAAATGTTTATTCACCCAGCAATAAATTCTACCGTATGAACCTGCACAACAGAGTAACTGGAGGAATTGATTAGCACCAAGCTAAAATTTGTTCAGGTCCTATCACAGTCATATCACAGGAGCACATTTAACCAGTGACGTTTGTGACAACCAACTAAAAGAATTTGTGGGTAGCTGAGGTTGGAAACCTGCCCTTGTTTGTTCATTGATTTGCTTGTTTGTGGTGATCCAGGGAATTGAATTCAGGGCCCTTGTACTGAGCTACATCCCCAGTCCTTTTAAAAAATAATTATTAGGGGCTGGGGATTCAGCTCAGCGGCACAGTGCCTGCCTGGCAAGGGCAAGGTCGTGAGTTTGACTCCCGGTTCTGGAAAAAAAGACCAAAATAAAGAAATAAATATTAAAAATTTTTTAAAAATTCTTTATTTTGAAACAAGGTCTCACTAAGTTGCTAACCTGCCCAGACTGGCCTTGAATTTGGTTTTTTTTATTATTACTTTTGGGGGGGTTCTTTTCCAGTACCGGGAATCGAACTCACGACCTTGCGCTTGCCAGGCAGGCGCTGTGCCGCTGAACTAAATCCCCAGCCCCCCTCGCTCTCGATTTGGAATCCTCTTGCCTCAGCCTCCCAGAACCCAGGGATTATAGACGTGTGCCATTAAACACAGCTGACTTGTTTGCTTTTGTTCTGTTTTGCTTTGTTTTCTCACAGCCCACTGCTATTTGATGCTTCTACAGGAAATCTGGAAGTCCAAGTATATTATTTCCTGCGTCATAAGAATTGTCAAAGATTTTTCTGGAACAGCTAGGCAATAGTGGTGCACGTGTGTAATCCCAGCACTCAGGAGGATCACCATGAGTTCGAGGTCAGCCTGGGCTGCAAAGTGAGTTCAAGGCCAGTCTGAACTACATAGTGTGACCTTGTCTCAAGAAAGAAAATTGTAAAAACATTATTTTTCTAGAGCAAGATATTTAATTGCATCAAAATAATTTTATAGTATAATACATGTCCTAATTTAATAATTAGATAGCTACATGAATGAAAGATTTACAGAAATTCACCTTTAGATTTATGACTTTGACAGCTGCCTGCTTACCAGGAGAAAGAAATATTCTTCAGATATTTCAGTTGATTAAATCTCCCTTATGAAATTCATCAATGTAAATATCTTTTGTAAAATTATAGAATATTGTGAACAAAGGTATTTTCAAATTTTATAGGTGAAAATAGGAACTTATTATTTATTATTTAATTTTATGTATTCTAATTTCAGTGTTTCAATGTTATTTTCCTTCAAATACTTGTATTTTTCTCTTCTGAACTGCCTATTTCCTTTGTCACATTTTTTGTTTGGCCTTTGACGTTTTCATCTCTCAGTTGATATTAGATTTTCATATAATAGCCATCATAATATTTAATCTCTCAGTTTAGCAGAAAAATATTTTTTACCACTTCATTACTTGACATTTTAAAATAATTTAAGCTGGGTGTGGTTGCACAAATTTATAATCCCAGAACTCTGGGAGGCTAAAACATCCAATCACAGAAGTTAAAAGACAGAGAGAGAGAAACAGACACAGAGAGAGAAAGAGACAGAGACACACAGAGAGAGAATAGACAAGAGGGAGGGGAAGAGGGAAGAGAAGGAGAAGGAGAACAAGAATGGGAGGAAGAGGGAGAAGAAGAAGGAGGAAGGAAGGGGAGGGGAGGGCAGGGGAACGAAGGGGAGAAGAGGAGAGGAGAGGACAAGAGAGGAGAGGCGAGGCGAGGAGAGGAGAGGAGAGGAGAGGAGAGGAGAGGAAAAGGAAGGATTGGTAATGTAGCTCAGTGTAAAAACCCTGAGTTCAATCTCAGCACTGCAGAAATTAATTAATAAATTAATCAGAAGTCCTTAATATTTATAGTTGAATCACTGAAAAATAATTTTGTGATTTATTTTTATTGCTTGTAATTTTAGGCTATTCTTCACTTTTCTAAATATTTAATTCTATCTTTTCCATAGTCTCTATGATCATCTTTGTCAATATTTTATTCTTTTGGCTATCTAGATTCAATTAAGTGGATAAAAAGGTCTACTTCACCAGCTATGGAGATAAACCCAGATACTTCTATGCTGTTTTTATTGATCTTAATAATGCTAACTTACCTAAAGATTAACGGTTACAAAAAATTATAAAAGGAAGATACACAAGTGCCATTTGCAACTAATAAAACTGTATTCTTAGAAAGCCCAAATTCAAGAGAGGAGTTAACATGTAAATTTTTCTCACAAAAATGAATAATTTAACATATACACAAGTAGAGCTCCATGATTACATAAGAGATTGTAACTAATTTGCCAGGGAAAGTTAAGAATGGCTTCCCAGGGAGAGGAGAATGGGGAGTTATTGCTTAATGGCTGTCAAATTTCTGTTTGAGATGCTCAAGGGATTTTAAAATAATTTAATTATTCTTTAATTGGCAAAATTATATAGTTTGGGCATATAATATGATGTGTTGACATATGTATACATTATGGTATAGTTAAATCAAGTTAATTAACATATTCATCACCTCATATAGTAATCTTTTGGGGGGGAACATTCAAAATCTACTCTCTTACCAATATTTAGGAATATAGTACATTATTATTAACTAACTATAGTCACCATGCTATAAAATAAACCTCCAGAATTTATTCACCCTGTTTAACTGAGACTTCGTACACTATGACCAACACCTTCCTATCCTCCTCAATAGATCACCTTCATCCCCTGGCAATAACCACTTTACTTTTTGCTTCTGCATTCAACTTTTTTAGATTCTACATGTTGTGTAATGGATATCATGCAGTACGATGTTTGTTTTGCAGGTCTGGCTTGTTTCACTTCTCAGGTTCTCTGTTCTCATCCATCCTGTTACAAATGACAGGCTGACTAGTATTAAAACATGTGTGCAACACATTTGCTTTTCCATTCATTCCTTGATGACTATTATAAATATTCATATTATAAATATGAATACTATTATAAATGACTATTATAAATACTATTATAAAATGTACCACCCTTCACAGTAGAATTGAAAAAATGAAATACTTAGGAATCAATCTAACAAAGTAAGCCAAAGATCTATATATTGAAAATGACAGTACTCTGAAAAAGGAGATCAAAGAGGATATCAGAAAATGGAAAGCTATCCCTTGCTCGTGGATAGGAAGTATCAACATAGTGAAAACGGCCATACTCCCAAAACTGTTATACAGATGTCATGCAATCCTGATCAAAATACAATTAGCATACTTCACAGAACTAGAGAAAACATTCCTACCATTCATTTGGAAACAGAAGAAACCTAGAATAGCAAAAGCAATTATGGGCAACAAAGGCAAGGCAGGAACATCACAATCCTTGGCTTGAAATTATACTACAAACTACGGTGATAAAATCAACATGGTACTGGCAAAAAAAACAGACTTGAGGATGAGTAGAAAATTCAGACACAATTACAAACACACTCAGCCACCTTACTCTTGACGAGGGGGCCAAATATGTTCGCTGGAAAAAAGACAGCCTCTTTAATAAATAGTGCTGAAAAACTGGCTCTCTACATACTAAAGACTAAAACTAGACCCATGTCTATGATCATGCTTTAAACTAAAGTCAAAATGGATCAAAAATATAAATATTAAAACAGAAGCACTAAATCTAGTAGAAGAAAAAGTTTGTAGAAGTCCTGAAGACATAAGTGTAGGCAGAGACTTCATGAACAAAACCCAAACTGCATGGGAAATACTTCAGAGTCAACAATTGAGATTTTGCTTTATTAAAAAGCTTTTGCATCTCAAAAGAGGTCACCAATAAAGCAAAAAAAAAGACCCACAGAGTGGGAAAAAATTTAGCCAAGAGTCTGTCAAGACTTATATATAAAATATACAAAGAACTGAAAAAAATCAGACCCCCCAAACTCAAAGATCCAATCCAAAACTGGGCATCTGAGCTGAATACATACTTCTCAAATGAAGAAATATAAATGGAAAATAAATATATGAAAAAATGTTTAACATCATCAGTCATTTGAGAGATGCAAATTAAAACAGCACTGAGATTCCATCTCAGCCCGGTAAGAATGGCTATCATCAAGAAATCAACCAACAACAAATGCTGGAGGGGCAGGGTGGAAAAAGGAACACTTCTCCACTGCTGGGAGTGTAGACTGCTGCAACCACTGGAAATCAGTGTGGAGATTCCTCAAAAAGCTAGGATTAGAGGTCCCATTCGACCTATATACTCCCCTTTTGGGTATCTTCCCAGAAGAATTAAACACATGATACCACAAAGACATATGTGCATCCCTGTTTATAGCAGCACAATTTGTAATAGCTAAATTTTGAAAACAACCCAAATGCCCATCAACCAAGGAATGGAAAAAAAATGTGGTCTTTTTCTACAATGAAATACTATTTGGCCATAAAGAATGATAGACTTGAGACTTTGATAGATAAATGGATGCAACTTGACACCATACTCATAAGTGAAATAAATCAGACTCACATATAAACATCCCTGGTGTGAGAAACCAAAACAGTAAATTAGATCTAAAATGTA